CTTATATGGCTGTGAAACCTGGCCCATCAGGTCGACAGATATAAAGAGGCTCGTCATATTCGATCATCGCTGCCTTTGCAGCTTAGCTCATGTCTGGTGGGAACACCGCGTGAGCAATGAGTGTGTTCGACGTCGCGTATTTGGTGCAGGAAGAGCGAGTGAACCACTCAGCACCATTATATTACGCACCAGGCTCCGATGGTTGGGCCACGTGTTGCACATGCCAGCACACCGACTTCCGGGACGTGCATTGTTTGCGCGTTGTGGGTGCGGTTGGAAGAGGAGGAGGGGAGGCCAAGTGATGACTTAGTCGAGAGAAATGAAAACCCTCACTTCGAAGTTGGCGTCGGTTGGTGCATCCCGACTGCCTGGCTGGGGCCCTAAGGACGGTGAACACGTTTGGTTGGACACACTTGCTGATATGGCTTGGAGCCGGCCCCAATGGCGTTTATGTTGTGATTTCCTTTGCCCATCTCCCTCCTGTTTAGTATCCCCTCCAATCACGATCTCACCTGTTAGGCATAATATGATTCTCTTTTTACGGCAGCCAGCTCTTAGCTCTCCGGAACGATGTCCATCCGTTACTGGGGACTCAGCGGGCGTGCCACTGTTTGCCACTGTTTTCCTTTTCTTATCTTTTGTATTGCGGCACGATAGCTGAGGTGTTTTCCACCTCCAGCTAACGTGTAATGATGATGATGATGATGCTGACCAAACAAAAGTTACAAACAGTACTGTTCTCGTGTTGGAGAGTGCATACTTAGGGCGCTGAACAAAGGTGCCATTGAAGCGATGGTGCGGGTAAATGGAGCAACAGATAGGTGTTTACTCAATGCAAGGGCCGCAGTCTCCCTGATCAACCATCGAGATGAAGTGAAAACCCAATCGTGTTCCATGGTGGTGAAGGCGGTCGGTGGTTACGATATACGCATAAATGGTATGGCGGAGCACGTGGTTCGTATCGGGAGTCATAAATCCAGCCATCATTTCGTCGTGTCGCCGGACGCGAAACAGCCTATTCCGTGGACAAACTCTCCAAGCCAATGAGGCCATTGTCGACCTTAAACGAGAAAAGCTGATAACGAAATACGGTTCTATACCCCTCGCTGGTAGTGAGTGATCCACGAAGCGTGCTCAGTAGTTGACGTGTTACGCACTATTCCGGTCCTGCAATCACTTGTCGGAAAATAGAAACTTCTCTTCACAGACGACAACATCACCGCATTGCGCTTCCGCGGCAGCCGTATCGGCCGTGTGGACAGAGAAGAATACCAATCCATCTGGAGGCCGAGGTCAAAAGGCAGACCCAGGGATGTTGAATGCGGGTGTTATCGGGCAAGTCACAGCTCGTATAACACCCCAGTCGTTTTGGTGAAGAAGGTCAACGGAAAATACCCCTTTTGCATCGACCTCAGAAGGTTGAACAAAATCTCGCTGAGTCGTTTTGTCCTGGTGGCATCAGTCCCAGACATCTTCGACAAACTGCACAATTCAAAGATGTTCACGGTACTGGATTTGAGATCTGGATACTGGAAGCTGGCGATCAAACACGAGGACCGAGAGAAGACCGCGTTTACAATTCGCGAGAAGCAGTAGCAATTTAGAAGCATGCCGTTTGGTTAGTCCAGTGCCTCGTTCACTTTCCGTCGTTTGATGCTCCATCTGCTGAATGGGTTAGAGAATGTGGCCGTTTACGGAGATAACACTGTGATACACAGTGAAACAGGACACTACTGTCATTTATAAGGGATGTTGCAACGGACCAAATGGTCGGGATTACGGATAAATACTCGTAACTCTCAAATTGGGAATAGGTTCGTGATACTGCTTGGTCACAAGGTGGGCGAATCTGCTGCCCGATAAAATATTGACGATTCGCGACAGCCCAGTTCTGACCTTGAATCACAATCTTAGGGCATTTGTGGGCCGCGCAGGATACTACAGTAAATTCGTCCGGAATTTTAACGGTTTGGCGTCACCCATGTACGATCTGTGAAGAGAGGGGAAGAAATTCACATAGACGCCAGAAGCTCAGCGAGCGTTTGACGATATTCAAAGTTAAATGAGAAGGCAGGATCTTACGTTGAAATTGCCGACCGCCTGAGAAATGTTCCTTGTGACTAAAGACGCAAGTACCGTTGGAATCGGAGCGGTACTGATGCAAATACACTAGATGATTAAATTCACCAGCAGAATTTTAACGCCATCGGAACGCAAGTATTCAACAGTAAACAAGGAGTGTCTGGCAATTGTTTGGGCGCTGGATAAGTGACGGGTGTACTTATAGGGTCAACGCTTTCAGGTCGAAACATCACAAATCATTGGAATGGATTAGGTCCTCCAAAGACCACATAGGCAAGTTGACTAGGTGGGCACTACGCTTACAAGAATAGGACTGCACGATAAGCAACATGTCAGGGAGTGACACCAGAACGGCAGATATTTTATCGCGCCGGAGGAGTGAGGATGATTTGCTGAACCTTCCCTTCGATATCAGTGGTTTGACGTTGCAGCAGAATCGGAGGACATGGGCAACTGAGTAACGAAATGGTAGGCTGAGAACGGCACGAATGACGTACCAAACTGACAACCGAATGTCAAGGCAAACAATTCGGGCCGTTCGCGCGAAACCTGGAAAACTTGCAAGTCAACAAAGCCGGAATTCTGATGTCGACACAATGTCGAGGCGCTACCCCGGTGTCTGTGATGCAACCAAAGTTGAAGAAAAGGTTGGTGGTCTCTTGTCACGAGAGCGCCCATACCGGATGCACCAGAACATATTGTTGACTTAGGCACGAGCTTACTGGTTTGGTATATAAAAAGGACGTCAATACATACGTGCTGTCGTGTCAGCAGTGCGAGCTCTTGAAGCGAGACAATCGAGGAATACCACAACCTATGCATGCGATTCCAGTGTCCGAGATTGTCGAGTTGCGGTCAGTCGACGTGATGGGGCCGTTCCGTTAACGAGGCGGGGCAATCAACACATAATCGTGATGACTGAGCACTACAACCGCTAGATTGAAGTCGCGGCAATTCTGGATCAGTGGGATAGCACGATAACACATGCGGTGATGAGGCACATGAGAGCGGGCCACGGAATTCCGAAGGCCATACTGACGGACCAGAGCCTGTGCTTTGAAAGTGACGAGTTCCGGACATGCCTGGAGAAACTGGGCATCAAAGAGGTACGAACCACTCCCTACCATCCCCATATAAATGGATTGACGGAGAGGAATAACTGGACGAAAGGGGGAGATTGGGAAGAAGCTCTATGACTACTCTTTCTAGCTCAGGGGGCGTCCAAGCAAGCAAATGCGAGACAATTCCATTCCAAGTAATGTAAAGCCGCACCCAGTAAGCATTGCCGGCTCAACTGGTTTATGACCATATTCCCCTTCACCAACTCTGGGTTCCGGGACCTCCTAACAATTGCTGGTTTTTATATTATTCACGAGTAGCAGGATTTTAGTTGTATTTCTGATAAGGCTTTCATCCCAATAGTTCACAGGTTACATAGCAGAGCCTAGTCCGGAAAAGCGCCAGACGCGTTTCGGCCTATGGGGGCTCGTCAGTTGCGCGCATTCCCTCGGTCCTCTAATGAGGATCGAACCCATGACCGCTAGAGGCAGATGCCAACTAGCCAGCAGCTTAAGCCACTGAGCCATGGGGGACGTTGGCTGGGCTACATAATTTGCAAACTAACTGGGATATAGCACCACCTATCTACCACTGTCATTGACAGTGGTTAACCTGCGAGGTGATGACGTCCTCTCACTAGACGCTATATCCATAGCATTTGAAACTAGGAGAGGCTATTTTGATTTTTATATTATTCACGAGTAACTTGTGAACTATTGGGATGAAAGCCTTATCAGAAATTGCTGGTTTGTTCACCGACAAATCATCACACATTGCACTCACTGAATGGAAGGCTGGTGACAATATTTAAGTAAGCGATGATTCGTCTGATTCGATAAGGTTGTGATGAACATGTCTCTGCATCCAAAAGTAGCTCACTCACGCGTCACAACTTCTTTAGGCCAACTGCTACAAGGGGAGAAGCTGATCCAGTCTAACAATATCACGTGCCTTCTACACGTGACTACCCGACGCACATTATGAAAGCTTTTTACTCTTTAATCCGTGGTTTACTTCGGTACCGTCTCACAGACCTGGTTTTCTTAGTGCAATAGACCTGCTGATGAGCAGATCGAAAAAGACTGTTTACGCGTTCTCTTTCCGTTTTTTCTAACGTGATGTCTAAAATGGGTATTTTTCACTAAATTGATGTGATAGTCTGTCGGGTTACGCATACTATGGTTTATGGAGAACTCGGTGTAATTCCAATGCAGCGACTTTTCCGTATAAGATTATTGACCACATTTTCATGTATTCATTTTAAACATTTCAGTTGTATCTTTTTAGAACCAATTGTTTTAGTCTTCCAAAGCAGCTGTGTTTGTATGCAGATTTATCACTGGTGAGCCTCGTTCTATCGGTAATATACCATATATGTATTTATTTGCTTCAATGCCCTGTTGCTCCGTCGCATGGTGAATTGCGTAGACGTTTAGGTAAATGGATGTTTATTCTAAATTGCAGTGATGTCAACTTCCGTGTTCAACCTGGGCCGACCTCTAGAAATGACGTGTGCCCTACGGCTACAACTGCTGAAATGCGTGCAATGTCCGGCAAATCGGTGTAAAGGGAATTGCTCGGATTATATATGCGGAATGATTCTTAGGGTCTGAGAGAGCCAACCGGATCAGGCAATTACCTAGCGAGTAAAATTGCCAGTTAGCACCTCGTAAACTACTTTTCCCCCTCGCATTACGACCTGATTCGTTTTGTTGCAAATCATAACAATTATATTTCCTCATTGAGATCTTCGTTACCCCAGCCTGTGAATACTTCATCTGACTGACGGTTCCATAGTTTGCGTTTATTTTTGTTGTGTTGTTCGTTTGCAATTACCCACTTTCTATTCCACAATTTAGAACAACCCGGCTATACGTGTCTGCGCTGTGGCAAATCTTTCGTCCGGAAGCACTATTTACAATTGCACATCAACTCTGTTCATTTCAGTAAGTAAGGAACTGGTAACAATTGCTTTCAGCCTATACTGCAAGGCGTTCTGTTTACGTTGTCCTCCTATGTTTTACGCAAACTTCAATTTGTCAAAACTGTTTGATGTGAAACAAATGAGCCTGTCTTATCGTTTATATCACGTAGTATCCCCTCTACTGAACTCGTCGCGTGTGCGTGTTAAAGCGGAAATGTTCCATTTACTGAGAACTACTTTTCATCGCAACATGTTTGCTCATCCGGTAATGAGGCTAAAAAGTAGCCGCACATCTCTTCCCAACTGTTGGTGTTCAAATTCCGATAGGAATTTGTTATGCGCAAGTCCGAGCAGCAACGACGTTGAGTGCACCCCTGAACGTAGCGCACTTGTGGTCGGCCAACTCTGCTTCTATAACATTTCCCGCAAACATATGTACAATAAGTCCAAAATTTTTCCAAAGAATGCACAAACCTTTGCATAGGTGCAAATTTTTGCAAACCATAACATTTTGCAAAACCCCGTACGATTCGCCAGCCGCCGTCAGCCAATCCTCTGACCTCAAGTGTCTTCTCATTGGCCGGGTGCTAGGGTTTGGTGCGTAAGTCGAAGTGAGCACGCTGCCATTTGACTAGGTGAGACTTGTGAATGAACCTCTAGTCCATGGACATGGGCGGTGCCACGAGCTATTATGCGCCCCCCCCCCTTCACGTCCGAAACGCTGGATCACAATTGGTCTGAGAGCAATGAATGGCTGGAACACACGCGCACGACTGAATGAATGTCTTTCATTCCAGTGTGGTCAACATGCCTTCTCCTGTGCAAGAGAGTATCTCGTCAGACATTCATGACCGAGTTGTGGATGCCTTCGTCAACGCTGACGACTGACTGCTCTTGGTAACCGTGAACAATGTGAAATATCAAACTGCTTAATTCTCAGATTCGTCTCTCTCTTGATCAGGAGCCGGATCCTACTCAGGCGCGCGATCGTACACGCATTCTGTCGGAGGAAGAGATTGATGACATCCTGGAGTGGATCGGGAAAAACGCAACTCTGCACGAAATGCGAGTCTGAGTACGTGCCGATATGGATAAGAGCATTTGCAAGTCTACACTCACACGACACCTGGATGGCCGTTTGATGACTATGAAGCACACCTATCAGACTCCAGAAGGAATGAACAATGATCGAACCAAAGCGATACGAAAGGAGTTTGTTCAAAAGCTTCACGCAGTTGAAAGGGCGAGGAACTTCTTCATATGGATCGGCGAAACAACAACGTTCATTGCAAACGCACTCGTGGTCCGGGCGCCCAGAGGAGTGAGGTCCTGTGTCAAGGTAGCCAACAGCAGAGGCCTGAATTTGCATATCATCGGTGCGCTCTCAATGAATGCGAAGGTTTCGATGACTACGCGGAGAGACTCATTCATTGGCCCCCTATCTCTCGAACGGCTGCGAGGCATTTTAGCCAAGCTGAAACGGGAAGTGGAGCTCCGGCAGGTGGTCGTTGTGTGTGACAATGCATCATGTCACACACTTTCGGAACCACTGCTGCTCTGATCGACAGAAATTCCCAGGTTAGTGCGAAATAATTTTACACTGTCACACAACGTGATTGTGAATGGAGGCCTATTACATCAGACCGCATATCCGATAAAAAGGGAATTGTATCGCGTTTTGTTATGCATCTTGGGAAAAGCAGTGTTCAGTGCTTAGTACGAAGGTCCGGGGTTAAGCCTTGTTTCAAGCCTGTTGTGCCCTAAATTAGCGGTATTTCACACTTGTAAGACTGGCAGTGAGATTTGTCACAAAAACACTATGATTCCAACGCTGATCGATAATCACGACACCCGATCATCTTGTCCAATAGCTCAGTGTCACACTTAGTCATGTGGACCACTCCCGCTGGAGCAGGCACAGTCCTCTGTGGGCAATAAGCGAACATCCATATATCTGCACCCCATTCGTTTACGAAGGCTGTTGGGTCAAATGATGGATCATCCGAACGATCAAAACGGTATCCAAGTCGTGGTGGTTACCCGTTCGGGCATTTCGATCACGTAAGTTAGGTTGGGTTTGCTGTAGGAGTTGGACTGGAAACCGTTGATGTCGGTTCCCAACTTGACAGACCCAATTTCAATCCGTTAACGGAGTAACGCGCCAGTACACTATAATGCAGCGGACAAACATCGCACAAATACTGTTCTGATTGGACACGCGATTCATTCAGTCCATTTCAATGACGACATCATTTTCATCTATGGACGATTTTGCGAAATGGCATCTGCGCATCTATCAGTACTTTTCACTCGTGCAGAAGGCTGACATGGTTTGCTCAGTCATTTCTTATTATGTGGCGCGACGACGCGCACTATTTACCCTGGGCGGCACAGTGTTCCTCAGAATGCAGAACCGGCTATTTCTAGCAGCGTATAAAGTGCACTTTGACCGGACATCACAATAACATGAGCATAACACTCATCCACTTACTGACCGCGCAAGGAGTTGCATACTGATTATTTTTGTGGATTAGTTGATGCCTTTCGATAACTCTCCGTATTTCGGCTATTCACATTCCAGACGTCCTAGTTTTCGGAATTCTGGAACCCTATCTGCATTGTCTAAAGTTATTCATGGACGAGTAATGCGCGATGCACACCAGAACGAAGTAGAAGATGCGCTACAAATATTACTCGCACGTGTCTCATTGGAAGCCAGTTACATGCCATTTCGTAACGCTGGACATCAGATATCGCTGAAACCCTCATACGAATGTATAACCATACGTATGTGTATGCATATTTCGACGAGACTTTGAATTTCCTCGTGTCCATACCCGCTCCTAGTGGTATATTCTATATAACCACATGTCTAAAGGGATGAGCCGGAGATGTAATCAAAGCACGTCATTTTTTGCAAACAATCAGGAAAATGTACACGGATATGTCGAATCGTATTACCACATCCCGCAACACTGATCTCACTGGTCGCTGTTCTGGCAATGCGTTCCAGAAATTGCCACCTCCATTCCATTTGAGTTGTGATGTTTTGGGGATCCCCTTAGGGAAGTTTCTCGTACTGCATTCGCGTTTCATGCTTCACTCGGGCCTTCACCACCTGCCACACATTTTCTGTGAGATTGAGGAACGGAACTATGGGCTCAATCTCAGAATGGTAACCCCTACGTATCTTTCGACGGACGCAAGTGGTTCCGAAAGTGTGTGACATGGTGCATTGTCACACACAACGACCACCTGCCGGAGCTCCACTTCCCGTTTCAGCTTGGCTAAAATGCCTCGCAGCCGTTCGAGAGATAGGGGGCCAATGAATGAGTCTCTCCGCGTAGTCATCGAAACGTTCGCATCCATTGAGAGTGCACCGATGATATGCAAATTCAGGCCTCTGCTGTTGGCTACCTTGACACAGGCCCTCACTCCTCTGGGCGCCCGACCACGAGTGCGTTTGCAATGAACGTTGTTGTTTCGCCGATCCATATGAAGAAGTTCCTCGCCCTTTCAACTGCGTGAAACTTTTGAACAAACTCCTTTCGTATCGCTTTGGTTCGATCATTGTTCATTCCTTCTGGAGTCTGATAGGTGTGCTTCATAGTCACCAAACGGCCATCCAGGTGTCGTGTGAGTGTAGACTTGCAAATGCTCTTATCCATATCGGCACGTACTCAGACTCGCATTTCGTGCAGAGTTGCGTTTTTCCCGATCCACTCCAGGATGTCATCAATCTCTTCCTCCGACAGAATGCGTGTACGATCGCGCGCCTGAGTAGGATCCGGCTCCTGATCAAGAGAGAGACGAATCTGGGAATTAAGCAGTTTGATATTTCACATTGTTCACGGTTACCAAGAGCAGCCAGTCGTCAGCGTTGACGAAGGCATCCACAACTCGGTCATGAATGTCTGACGAGATACTCTCTTGCACAGGAGAAGGCATGTTGACCACGCTGGAATGAAAGACATCCATTCAGTCGTGCGCTTATGTCCCGGCCATTCATTGCTCTCAGACCAATTGTGATCCAGCGTTTTGGACGTGAAGGGGGGGGGGCGCATAATAGCTCGTGGCACCGCCCATGTCCATGGACTAGAGGTTCATTCACAAGTCTCACCTAGTCAAATGGCAGCGTGCTCACTTCGACTTACGCACCAAACCCTAGCACCCGGCCAATGAGAAGACACTTGAGGTCAGAGGATTGCCTGAGAGCGGCTGGCGAATGGCACCTAATTTTTTTCTTTTTTGGACTTATTATGCAAATTTGCCTAGGTTTCACCTGTGATCACGTTAATATCTAGTGTGCCTACATAAACTGTGGGTGGCTTGCGTTTCGTCTTCCGGAGCTCCGTCCCTATGTGTAGGATCCTGCATGATGCGGACGGAGTAAGTTTTGTGTGTATGCGAATCTGTTGTACGGTTTGCTGGTAACTGCTCTACGTTCTGTCACTATTTTCATGACTGGTGAACATTTTTGGTAAACGAGCATTGTGGTGGAACACAGGTTAGTCATCTTCCAGCAGGGAACTTCATATGGTATACCGTATAGCCAACCTTCACATTATTTCTGCTCTTATTCTCTACATTCCGGATGCTCGCTGTGTTCCGCCTGGTGGTGAGCACAATTTGACTCGCGAAGATCTCAGGGTAAACTGCTTTCTAGTCAGAAGATAGACTGGGAGGCCTAGTGGTTCCATCTTGTAGATGGAGACAGCGGCTGCCTTAAATAACAATCGGGTTATTCTGTCTGATACGGGAAACAGGCAGCTGAAGGCGTGGTGTTAGTGAGACCATGAGCCATTAAAGTGGACAGCCTCTCCACAACTTGTTTAAACGCTTGGAGCATTGGGACGACCACTGAGAAGCAGTTTATTTATCAGTAGTTACCCGATCCTTTATCAGTCATTGATCATCCTACCGACTGGCCAACCGGCGGACTGGAGCCGCTTTACTGTAATCACAATTGTTAAGGGATGACTTGTGCGGGTTACAGCAATTACGTAGGGATCAGTCTGATTC